CCTGGCCAAGAGAATATTAGCCTACTAGGTAAGTTAAGGGCTTGTTTGACATTATTTTTTGTTTTCAGATTTTAGTTTTTTGAAAACAAAAAACCAAAAATAGAAAACAAGAAAGAATGTTTCCACTTTTCAGTTGTCAGTTTCAAAATTATTATGATTTTAGTAAGTTTGACTACTTTTTTTGTTCATTATATGACATATATCAATTGATTTAGGAAAACAAAAAAACCAAAAACTAAAGAACCACAATGATACGAGACGAACCCCAATTAATGGATTGATATTTTTTAAAAAAAAAGTTAATGGATTGATAAGTCCTAATTTGTTACACATATTAGGTGTATATCTACTCTCAATTGCTTATGAATTTAGAGATCTTTGGTGCATATTTACATTACGTACTTGAGCTATGCTCTACTACTTTTCATTTGTGTGTTTTGGTGAATTTCAAGTGATTTAGATGCAAATGGATTATGGTTGTTAATCTTAAGTATCTCAACTCATATCTTCAAGACAAAATTGAGCTAGAATGAAGCAAAATGTTGATGAAAGACTTTACGAATATGAGGCCCGTCCACTATTTCACTCATAAATTTTTATCCACAAATGATAATGGAGTGATTCTAATTGCAATGAAAAGTAGACTTCAAATCTTTCCAAAGATATATTACATGCCTCAAACAAAGCTTCGGATCTCAAATTATTACCGATTTAAAATGAGCTATGTCACAGGATTCATAGGATTATGCCTATGTTATTGCTAACCCAAAAAAATCCTCTTAATAGTTTTGTTAATGGAAATTGTTAAGTTGTGGTATGTTTTTGTGGTAAAAAGAAAAAATTTAAAGAGGTGGTTAAAAAAAAAAAAAAAAAAAAAAAAAAAAAACAACTGGACATTTTAGGATGGTAAAATCCCAAAAATCCAAAAAAAATCATAATTTTATTAAAAAAAAAAAAATAAATTTAATGCTTCAATAACCTTGATATTGATATAAGTATAAAAAAATCCTGGTTTACCATTTTTGTTGAATTACTATTGCAATTTATTACAATATACTCAGTAAAATTAGTAACAACTGTAATCCCCCGTACATTTAAATATTTTATAAACGAAATTTTATTTTATTTATAATATTTATTTATATTTTTCCGGAATTTAATTTTAAAAGTTTTAAATTATTAATTTGGGTCCAAAAATTAATTTAGCACAAATTATTTTACGAACCTTCATTCTATAATTTATGCCCATAAAAACAAAGCCTAACTCATTTGTTTATTTAATTGGCCCATTATTTTCATGAGACCCAATTCTACCCTACAATTCTCTCCTATAAATACCCCATGAATCTCCAAATTTTCCCCACACAAAAAAGTTAGTCTTTATTTCTTTTCTCTTTATTTTATTTCTTTTTCCTTTATTTCTTTTTTCTTTCTTTCTTTTCTTTTCTTTTCCTTTTCCTTTTCTTTCTTATTTCTTTCTTTCTTTCTCCTCTTCCTGTGTGAGCTTTGCTCACTGCCGACCAGCCACCTCTGGTGCACACCCGCCTCCCTACCGCCGGCGACCCACCAGGCGGCCCACCGTGGCTCCCCCTTTCCTCCTCCTTTGTTTCCTTTTTATTTTTACTTAAAATTGTTAATTTGTTTTGGGTTTTAGTTTTAATTGTTTGAAATTGATTTAATTAGCGTCAAAACTATATTTTTGATGGTTTAAACTATAAATTTCAGATTATTAATGTTGTTTAAATCTTCAGATTTTGTAATATTAAAACCTAGGCTTTTAATTTATTTAAATTGGGATTTTAGGGTTCTAATGAGTAATTAAATTGGGGCTTTTATTCCTAATGTATTTCTAATCATTAATTAAGCATAAAAACATGTTTGAAGGGATATTTTAAGGAGTTTTTAATAAAATCATATTGCTGGAAATTAGTTTGGGTATTAATATTGAATTGTTGGTTGTTTTCTAGGAGGTGATTATTCCCTAGGAGACTTTTAATTGATTAAAAGTGGCACAAAAGATTGTTTACACGAGGTACGTATATGTCTACTTCGTTGTAATTAGTCTCATGTTTAGGTACCAAAAGGAAAGAACTTAGTTTCATGTTTAGAGAACACTTGGATGGAAATTGTTTGGTTAAACATTGAATTAATTCACGTGCTTATGTTTATGAGACATGTTTTGATGAATTGATTATGTTTGTATGGAATTATGGATGCAAGCATGTTGAATTATATTGGATTAATTGTTTGTATGGAATGTTGATATAAGCATATTTTTTTATTGGATTGGTTTGTTACCCACATTTGGATTATTAAAGGATTAAAATTGAATAGTTTAAGTGGAATGAATTTATTAATTATTCCATGAGTTTATTATTATTTTATTTATTACTCAAGCATGACTTGTTAGTATGTTTAGTAAAGGTGAATTAAGCAGAAATGGTTAGGTGGGTTGACTATGTTCAACAATTTTGGATATCTTGGAAGTTGAATGGAATTAAAGGTCAATTTGTGATGTGAACATCGTTGTCCTAAATAAGATTAAAAGTGAATTATATGTATGATCATCATGTATGGTTTACTTGAATGAGTCGGCTATTAAATAAACTTGTTATCACGTAAAGTGAAACATGGATGGGCAACAAAACTCTGTAAAGCGTGCACTTCTGCAATATTAACAATTATGGGTTAGGGTACACGGTGGTAGCCCGTGGCTTTTCGAGGCTTTTTTGATCAATATGTCCTCTTTTCTTTTGGTATTTACATTTTTATTTTATAATGAAAGTTAAATGGGATCCTAAACTAACTTTGTGAGAATGGAGTCGCGCCCAGTCTTACATCATTTTGGTTATTTGGGACCAAAATGATTTGGTGGGTTGGACAACCTCGTTTATTGCTTACTCCAAATTAAATTAAATATAAAGAGTCAAGTGATTGGAATTGGTTAGTAAGTATGTTTGAGTTGATTGAACTATTTAAGTGAGGAGTCTTGATTAATGAATTCGTGATGTATGTTTATTTACTTTAATTAATTGAGCATGTTAGGTTTGTTGCGTTGTAGCTTGTATGTACTCAGCTTTGTTGATTGCGTGCTTTTGTATGTTTTCTTTTGGTCATGACCTTCGCCTTTCAATGACCCAGTGATGATCCAATTAATACACTTGTATTATTGGGGAGCAGTATTGCACAGGTTAGCTTGATGATGTGAAGTTCGGGGATTGGCAATGCATTGTCAAGGGATTTTTGTGATTGAGAGTATTCGTTCCTTGTGTTGAACTTACTTATGTTTTACAATTGCATTTATGATTTGGGTTTTGAATATTGGTTTAGTTTAAATAAGGGCCTTTATGGTTCCAGTTTGTAAGCTTTGACTTATTGGTTTTCTAAACTATGTTATTTTTAAAGACTTAAGTTTGGTTTTCCGCTGCGATACTTTGATAAAACCTTAACGTTTTAACACGTGGCAGTAACATGCCAGTGGTTCTCCTCTATTTTATTTAAAGTAGGTGGTTTGGAAAAGGGAGAATTATTGGGGTGTTACAACAACCTTGCATTTCACGAGATTGAAGCTAGTGTTATACTATAAATACATTTAGTTATGAAGATAACTTTTGGTTTAGTGTTATTATGTAGTTAAGGTTTCTCCAATGGTTGGGGGATGTAAACTCTATAATCAACACTTTGATTAGGGATATATGTGGGGCGGGTCAAGTAGGAGACCCGCCCCGATTTGGCGGGTGGTGGGGTGGGGATGGGGATAAAAACCATATCCTCCATGGGTGATGGGGCTGGGTTGGATTTTAATAATCATTTCCTTTAAAAGTGACTTATTAGTGGCGATTGTGTGGCCTTTTTCATCTTTCTACCTTAATATTTTTATGATCATGAATGCGGTGTGTTGTGCAAGTAGAGTACTTTTGTGTCGACGTTGGCCTAATAGTGCGTTATACTTCCAGGCAGAGAAGGAGGATGGCTAACAACGATGCTTTAGCTGATGCTATTAGGCTACTAGCTGAGAACTTGAACCAAAACCGCAATGATAATCCTGATCCCGCGGGTGAGATGTTTATGAAGCTTGCTCAGGTCAAACCACCATACTTTAAGGGAGGTGGAGACCCAACTTTTCTGGAGAATTGGATTAGGGAGTTCGATAAGATCTTTGCTGCTTTGAATTGCCCTGAGAATATGAGAGTTGACCAGGCTGCCATGTATTTGAAGGATAAGGTAGATATTTGGTGGAGGGATAATGGAAATATGCTTCGTGCTGAGGCTAATTTTGGTTTGGAGACTTTCAAAACCAAACTTAGGGAGAAATTCTATCCACCATTCTTAAGGAAACAAAAGGCTCAAGAGTTCATTAATCTGCAAATGAACAACATGTCGATTACTGAGTACTATAACAAGTTTATGAACTTATCGAGGTTTTCTCCTGAAGTAGTGCCTACTGAGGAGTTGAAGGCTCAAAGACTTGAGCAAGGTTTAACTAAGCAGTTACAGAAGGACTTGGATGGAAAGACCTTTAAGACTCTTGATAAGCTTTATCGAAGAGCAACACACCTGTACAGTCTGAATGTCAGGAGTGCGACTGAGAGTGGGAATGTTAGAGAAAAGCGAAAGGATTTTGGGAATTCGAGTCACCAAGGTAACTTCAAGAAGCCAAGGAATGAGAATTTCCAGAATAGAAATTTTCAGAACAATGGAGGATCGTCTAAAACTACTAGCCAAGTTGAGAGGCATTACAACTGCAAGAGGTGTGGCAAGGATCATCCTGGAAAGGATTGTGATGGGAACTTGGTTGTTTGTATCTGTAACAAGAAGGGCCATAGGGAGTTTAAGTGTTTCTCCAAACTGAAGCAACAAGGGAATGGGAACAAGTTTACTCCAACAAGCAACCAAGGAGGAAATTCGAATGATCATAATAGGAATGCAAAGAGCGGAAATGTTGGCAACAACAACTCCAGGAATCAAGGAAGAATGTCACTCCAGGTCGTTTGTCTGTAATGAGCAAGAAGGAAGCTGAAAGGTCTTCTGATGTTGTCACTGGTAACTTTTCTATTCATTCTATTTCTGTTAAAGCTTTGTTTGATTCTGGAGCCACCTATTCTTTTATTTCTAGTTCTGTTGTGAAACAATTAGGACTAGTTGAATCGAACTCAATTGACTTGCCTATTAGTCTACCTACTGGCGAATTTGTGAGGTGCACCAAGATGCATAAGGGTTTACCTTTAAGTATTGGAGAAATTGATTTTCCATCCGATCTTATAGAATTTGAGTTGGGTGACCTTGATGTTATCTTGGGAATAGATTGGTTGGCTACTTATAAAGGTAAGATTGATTGTGAGATACAGAAGGTTTATTTAAGGAGTCTTATGGGAAAGATTGTATCTTACAGACGTTTTGGGAAACCAAAAGGTATTGGGATTATTTCTGCAATGAAGTTGTCGAAACTTGTGAGTAAGGGGTATCCTTTGTTCTTTTGTTGTGTGTAAGACTTAGAAATGAGAATTAAGGTGAAAGTGGAAGATGTGCCAATTGTGAATGAGTTTTTGGATGTATTTCCAAAAGAGATTTCTGGTATGCCACCAAAAAGGGAAGTGGAGTTTACAATTGATTTGGTTCCTGGAACGACATCGATTTCTAAGGCACCATATAGAATGGCACCTGCTGAGATGGGAGAGTTAAAACTGCAATGGCAGGAGTTATTAAATAAGGGATATATTAGGCCAAGTGCATCTCCTTAGGGAGCACCAGTTTTGTTTATGAAAAAGAAGGATGGGAGCATGAGATTGTGCATTGATTATAGGGAGTTAAATAATGTGACAATAAAGAATAAGTACCCACTCCCAAGGATCGATGATTTGTTTGATCAATTAAAGGGAGCTAATGTGTTTTCGAAGATTGATTTACGTTCGGGGTACCATCAACTTAGAGTTGCTGATAAGGATATACCTAACACTGCTTTTAGGACTAGATATGGGCACTATGAGTTTACAGTTATGCCTTTTGGGTTAACCAATGCACCTGCAATTTTATGGATTTGATGAATCGAGTATTTCATGAGTATTTGGATAAGTTTGTGGTTGTTTTTATTGATGATATTTTGGTATACTCGAAAAGTGAGGAAGAACATAATGAGCATTTGAGGGCTGTGCTGAGAACTCTTAGAGACAATAAGTTATATGCTAATAAGTTTTCGAAGTGCGAATTCTGGTTAAAAAAGGTTGCATTTTTAGGACATTATGTGTCTAAAGAAGGTGTTTTTGTGGATCCAACAAAGGTTCAAGCAGTGATTGAGTGGCCTACGCCTAAGAATGTGTCTGACATAAGGAGTATCTTAGGACTAGCTGGCTATTACAGAAGGTTTGTGAAGGACTTTTCGAAGATTGCTAGACCCTTAACTACTTTGATGAAGAAGGAAAGTAAGATTGAATAGGATGAGAAGTGTGAACAAGCCTTTCAAACTCTTAAAGAGCGTTTAACCACCGCACCTGTTTTAACCTTACCTGAAGGAAGTGATGGGTTTGAAGTATATAGTGATGCTTCGAAGAATGGATTAGGGTGTGTGTTGCAACAAAATGGGAAGGTAATAGCTTATGCTTCTCGCCAACTCAAATCTCATGAAGTTAACTACCCTACACATGATCTTGAGCTTGCGACTATAGTGTTTGCATTGAAGATTTGGAGGCATTATTTGTATGGAGTAAGGTGTAAGATCTTTACAGATCACAAGAGTCTCAAGTATATTTTCACTCAGACAAATCTCAATATGAGACAGAGGCATTGGTTGGAGTTGTTCAATGACTAATGTAAACATATAGTACCATGAAGGTAAAGCAAATGTTGTTGCAGATGCCTTGAGTAGGAAATCAAGTCATGGTGTGAATGCTTTAATCGTGCCTGACAAGTTATGTGAAGATATGAAGCGTTTGAACTTGGAGGTTGTGAACTATGGTGAAGTAGGAGCAAGGTTGAGTGCTCTTTCACTTGGGAATTCATTGTTGGATGAAATAAAAGAGAGTCAGAAAGGTGATGAAGGAATCCAATCAATTAAGGAGAAAATGAGCCAAGGGAAAAATGTAGATTTCAAGATCCATCATGATGGAAGTTTGAGTTGCAAAGAAAGATGGTGTATACCAGAAAAGTGTGAGGATTTAAAGAGAAAAAATCATGGAAGAAAGCCACAATACTCCATATTTTGTGCACCCAGGAGGGGACAAGTTGTACAAGGACTTGAAAGAGTTGTATTGGTGGCCAAACATTAAGAGAGAAGTAGCTGAGTTTGTGAGTAAATGATTGACTTGTCAAAAGGTTAAGATTGATCACAAGAGACCTATGGGAAAAGTTCAACCTTTGGAGATTCCTAGTTGGAAATGGGATTCGATAATCATGGCTTTTGTCACAGGATTGCCTGGAACCAAAATTGGCAATGACACTATTTGGGTGATTGTAGATAGACTTACAAAGTCTGCGGTGTTTATTCCAATAAAGGAAACTTGGAAAAAGAAACAATTAGCAAAGGTCTATGTGAAGAATGTAGTTCGACTACATGGAGTGCCTAAGGACATCATCTCCGATCAAGATTCAAGGTTCTTGTCCAAATTTTGGCAAAAAGTTCAAGCCAACTTGGGAACAACATTGAAAATAAGTACTGCGTTCCACCCAGCAACGGATGGACAAACTGAAAGGACCAATCAAACCATGGAAGATATGCTAAAGGTGTGTGCCATGGATTTTCAAGGTACTTGGGAGGATCATTTGGATTTTATTGAGTTTTCTTACAATAATAGCTACCATGCTAGCGTTGGCATGACACCTTTTGAAGCATTATATGGTCGAAAGTGTAGGAGTCCTGTATGCTGGAATGACTATAGTGAGAATCTTGTCTTAGGAACGGAGTATATTGAGGAAATGGTGAATAAGGTGAAGATGATTCGCTCGAGAATTCAGGCTATGCAAGATAGGCAGAAAAGCTATGCCGATTTGAAAAAGAGAGATGATGAGTTAAATGTGGGCGATAAAGTCTTTTTGAAGGTCTCACCTACAAAAGGAGTGATGAGATTTGGAAAGAAGGGAAAATTGAGTTCAAAGTATGTAGGTCCTTGTGAAATTTTGGAACATGTAGGCAAGGTTGCTTACAAATTGGCATTACCTATGGAATTTGAGAAAATGCATGATGTGTTTCATATCTCTCAATTGAAAAAGTATGTTCCTAGTTCTAAGCACGTGCTACAACCTGAATCAATTCAATTGGATGAGACTTTGACTTATGAGGAAAAGCTTGTGAGAATCTTTGATCATAAGGTGCGTAGTACACGCAATAAGGATGTTAGAATTAAGAAAGTTCTTTGGTCAAGCAAAGAGTATGAGGAGACCACTTGGGAGGCCGAGGATGATATGAGAAAGAGATACCCTGAGTTATTTAATGAGGTGAGTTACGAGGGCGTAACTCTTGTTCTTTAAGGGGGGATAGAATGCGTGTAATTTCGCGCTTTTTACCCTATTTTATGCTACTTTGTGGTGTTTTTATGCTTTTCATAGCTATTTTATTGTTTGCGTATCTAGCGAAGTACGTAAATTGGGATGGTGATAAGGTATTAGTGTCAATATTATGACACAATTGGAATTCAACCAACATAATATTGAAAATTTTGAAATGGTTTTATGCAAATATTTTGCACATTGAGAGATTGTGCTAATTTTCGGGACGAAACTTCTTTTAAGAGGAGTAGATTGTAATCCCTCGTATTTTTTATATATTTTATAAATGAAATTTTATTTTATTTATAATATTTATTTATATTTTTCCAGAATTTAATTTTAAAAGTTTAAAATTATTAATTTGGGTCAAAAAATTATTTTAGCACAAATTATTTTACGAACCTTCATTCTATAATTTATGCCCATAAAATAAAGTCTAACCCATTTTTTTATTTAATTGGCCTATTATTTTCATGAGGCTCAATTCTACCCTATAATTCTCTCCTATAAATACCCCATGAATCCCCAAATTTTCCCCACACAAAAAGGTTAGTCTTTATTTCTTTTCTCTTTATTTTATTTCTTTTTCTTTTTCCTTTATTTTTTTCTTTCTTTCTTTCTTTTCCTTTTCTATCTTTTTTTATTTTTTTCTCCTCTTCCTACGTGAGCTTTGCTCACTGCCGCACAGCCACATCCGGCGCACAGCCGCCTCCCTGCCGCCGACGACCCACCTAGCGACCCACCGTGGCTGCCCCCTTTCCTCCTCCTTTGTTTCCTTTTCATTTTTGCTTAAAATTGTTAATTTGTTTTGGGTTTAGTTTTAATTGTGTGAAATTGATTAAATTAGTATCAAAACTATATTTTTGATGGTTTAAACTATAAATTTCATATTATTAATGTTGTTTATATATTCAGATTTTGAAATTTTAAAACCTAGGGTTTAAATTTATTTAAAGTGGGATTTTAGGGTTCTAATGAGTAATTAAATTGGGGCTTTTGTATTTCTAATCATTAATTAAGCATAAAAACATGTTTTAAAGGATGTTTTAAGGAGTTTTTAATAAAATCATATTACTGGAAATTAGTTTGGGTATTAATATTTAATTGCTGCTTGTTTTCTAGGAGGTGATTATTCCTTAGGAGACTTTTAATTGATTAAAAGTGGCACAAAGGATTATTTACACGAGGTACGTTCATGTCTACTTCGTTGTAAGTAGTATCATGTTTAGGTACCAAAAGGAAAGAACTTAGTTTCATGTTTAAAGAACACTTGGATGGAAATTGTTTGGTTAAACATTGAATTAATTCATGTGCTTATGTTTATGAGACATGTTTTGGTGAATTGATTATGTTTGTACGGAATTATGGATGCAAGCATGTTGAATTATATTGGATTAATTGTTTGTATGGAATATTGATACAAGCATATTTTTTTTATTGGATTGGTTTGTTAACCACATTTGGATTATTGAAGGATTGGAATTGAATGGTTTAAGTGGAATGAATTTATTAATTATTCCATGATTTATTATTATTTTATTTATTACTCAAGCATGACTTGTTAATATATTGAGTAAAGGTGAATTAAGCCGAAATGGCTAGGTGGATTGACTATGTTCAACAATTTTGGATATATTGGAAGTTTAATGAATTAAAGGTCAATTTGTGATGTGATCATTGTTGTCCTAAATAAGATTAACTCCGTTTGGTAGGGCGTAAAACATTTTCATTGAAAAATGTTTTCCCATTTTACATTGTTTGGTTTGGTGTAAAACATTAAAATGTAAAACTTGGGGTGGAAAATCATTTTCCACCTTATTGAAAACATTTTCCCCCCAATTTAGAAGGAAAACATTTTCCATCACAAGTGGAGGGAAAACATTTTCCATCACAAGTGGAGGGAAAACATTTTCCCTCACAATTGAATTTTCAGTTCAACCAAACAATGGAAAATGCTTAAAATGGAAAATTATTTTCCATTCAACCAAACAACGGAAAACTTTTTTGAAAATGAGTTTTCCATTGTAAAATGATTTTCATGGAAAACCATTTTACATTGAAAATGTTTTACACCCTACCAAACGGACCCTAAAAGTGAATTATGTATGATCATCATGTATGGTTTACTTGAATGAGTCGGCTATTAATTAAACTTGTAATCACGTAAAGTGAAACATGGATGAGCAATAAAATTTTGAATAGCGTGCACTTCTGGAGTTTGACAATTATGTCTGTGGTACACGGTGGTAGCCTGTGGCTTTCCGAGGCTTGTTTGATCAACATGTCCTCTTTTCTTTTGGTATTTACATTTTTATTTTATAATGAAAGTTAGATGGGATCCTAGACTAACTTTGTGAGAATGGAGTCGCGCCCATTCTTACATCACGCTATATTTTTTATTTTAAATGGTCATTTGGGACCAAAATGATTTAGTGGGTTGGACAACCTCGTCTATTGCTTACTCCAAATTAAATTAAATATAAAGAGTCAAGTGATTGGAATTGGTTAGTAAGTATGTTTGAGTTGATTGAACTATTTAAGTGAGGAATCTTGATTAATGTATTCGTGATGTATGTTTATTTACTTTAATTAGTTGAACATGTTAGGTTTGTTGCGTTGTAGCTTGTATGTACTCAACTTTGCTGATTGCGTACTTTTGTGTGTTTTCTTTTGCTCATGAGCTTCGCCTTTCATTGACCCTGTGATGACCAATTATTACACTTATATTATTGGAGAGCAGTATTGCACAGGTTAGCTTGATGATGTGAAGTTCGGGGATTGGCAATGCATTGTCAAGGGATTTGTGTGGTTGAGAGTATTCGTTCTTTGTGTTGAACTTACTTATGTTTTACAATTGCATTTATGATTTGGGTTTTGAATATTGGTTTGGTTTTAAATAAGAGCCTTTATGGTTCCAGTTTGTAAGCTTTGTCTTATTGATTTTCTAAACTATGTTATTTTTAAAAACTTAAGTTTGGTTTTTCGCTGCGATACTTTGATAAAGCCTTAACGTTTTAACACGTGGCGGTAACATACTAGTGGTTCTCCTCTATTTTATTTAAAGTAGGTGGTTTGGGAAAGGGAGGATTATTGGAGTGTTATAACAACCTTGCATTGCACGGGATTTAAGCTAGTGTTATACTATAAATACATTTAGTTATGAAGATAACTTTTGGTCTAGTGTTATTATGCAGTTAAGGTTTCTCCAATGGTTGGGGAATGTAAACTCTATAATCAACACTTTTGATTAGGGATGAATGTGGGGCGAGTCAAGTAGGAGACCCGCCCCGATTTGGCGGGTGTTGGGGTGGGGATGGGGATAAAAACTATACCCGCCGTGGGTGATGGGGCGGGGTTGGATTTTAATTTGTACCCGCCTCATTTTTGCCCTACCCCACTTCATACCTGTGCCTCCCCACTTCGTACCTACCCCTGCCTCATCCCCACCCCATACCCACATCTACATATTCTAAAAAAAAATATTGCACTTTTATACTATTTTGTTAAAAAAAATTATGTAAAACAGATTTGAATTGTACCCACCGGGGTAGGGATAATCAAAATTAATTTCGGAAAATAAATAATTAATTACTTAAAAATTTGAAAATACCTTTATAAAATCTGAAAGTTTATGATTAAATTAATAAGAATACATTTAATAATTATCATGACCAAGACCTTTAGGCTAGATAAGTTTTATAAACTGAAAATGATTAATTTGACTTGCAAGTAAAAAGATTGTAAAAAGTTTAAGATATTTCAACATAATTAATTAAAAATTGAT